GTGTACACACGGGTATTCACAGACGCGGACTACAGCTTTCTTGGCTGCTGCCTCAAAGCACATTGTGCGCTGTCTATCTTGCGTGCTGCACAATATCGTTTATTATTTAATATCTACTGATATCTACTGCTAGCTAGTTTATTGTGATGGTGCTGTTTTTTTTTATTATGTTGCTCTTTGTTGTTTGCTTTCTCTTCTGTTTTTTTTCTCCATACAGGTGACCCAGGTGTTTTGTTTGTTTTTCTTTTTTTTCTTTCTTCCCCCCCTTCTCACCGTCTCTTCTCCCCTCTGGTTTTCTTTCTCTCCCTCTCTTTCTTTCATTCTTTCCCCCTGTCCTATCCCCCAGTCATGTCTGTCCCGTTTGTAGCAACTGAAAATAAAATAAATTCATAATTAAAAAAAAAAAAGTGTTATTGCTACTGTTTTTTATTTTATTTTTCATTATTTTCCCAGTTATTTGGTTATATTGTAGCGTTGTACGGATATTTAAAACAGGTCACGTGTCTTAGTGACAAGCTGAGCTTGCCATTATTAGATTTTGCCAGCAACAAAGATTTGGAGAGGAGATTGCTACGTTGTCAAGTGGGAAAGGTTCTGTGAGCAGACACAGCTCAATTTATAGATTAGATCCTTATCTTGACGATGAAGGCCTCTTAAGAGTTGGGGGACGACTGACAAAGGGCTCCTTATCAGAAGAAATAAAGCATCCCTTTGTTCTTGCAAAGGATCAACATGTAGCAAGTCTCATCCTAAAGCACATTCATCAACAGCTTGGTCATAGCGGTCGTAACCACACCTTATCCACACTAAGGAGAAAATACTGGCTCACAAAGGCCAACTCAGCTGTAAGGAAGGTTATCGCAGAATGTAATTTTTGCAGAAAATATCATGGAAAAGCCTTGGAGCAAAAGATGGCAGATTTACCCAAGGAAAGAATTTTGCCAGATAACCCACCATTCACCAACGTCGGAGTTTATTACTTCGGACCTATTGCAGTGCACTTGGAAGTGGCTAGCTCTCTAAGCACAGATGCCTGCATTAATGCTTTGCGCCGTTTTGTGAGTCGAAGAGGTCAAGTTGCTCACATCCAATCGGACAATGGAACCAACTTTGTCGGAGCAGACAGAGAGTTAAGGGAGGCTCTTGAATTGCTGAAACATACCCAAATAGCGGATGCTTTGCGACACATTGGAATAAGATGGAGTTTTAATCTGCCTGGAGCGTCACATCATGGTGGAATTTGGGAACGGATAATTCGTATGATCAGAAAGATTCTGAGATCCGTTCTTCAGCAACAACAGTTGGACGACGATGGATTAAATACGGTTCTATGTGAAATTGAAGCAATTTTAAATGACAGACCCATCACAAAGCTTTCTGATGATCCAAAAGACCTAGAGCCACTTACACCAAATCACATCCTCCTGATGAAAGGAAAACCATCTTTACCACCCGGACTATTTGACCCTCAGGATATGTATCTGAAGAGAAGATGGAAACAGGCTCAGTACATCTCAGATCTTTTTTGGAAACGATGGATACGCGAATACCTGCCTTTGTTACAGGAGAGACAAAAATGGAACCAAAAGAAGAAGAATCTAAAACCTGGAGATATAGTCATGATGATGGATTCTTCTGCACCACGTGGTTCCTGGCCACTTGGAAGAGTTCTGGAAGCCATTCATGACAAAAAGGACTTGTGCGATCTGCACATTTAAAAACAAAGACTAATATTCTGGAAAGACCTGTAACTAAACTTTGCTTGTTACATGAGACTGTAATCTAAAAGTGTGTTACTTATGTTTATTTATGTGAATGTATAGGTCTAAAGTAGACTGTATTAGTGGCCCCTTATTTTCTTTGTGATTAGAATTGCCATGTCTGATAGCCATTTCAATTAGGGGCCGGGGTGTAGGAGCCATTCTTGGGTTAATACCTTATGTGGTCACTAGAGGTCACCTTTTTCTGTTTTGATTATGTAATGTAAAGGTATTTAAGGTAGACGCACGTAATCGGCGTCAGGTGTGTCATTAAGAAGGCAAACAGTTTGTGACCGTTGCGCTGTTATGCTAAGTCGATACGGAATAAAGACCAAAAAGGACAAGATACATACTGCTGGATTTATTGGACTGAACTTAATTCATGCATACCAGTGACATTGCGTCACCCCCGTTAACGACCACCTCAGTGGCTTCAAGCGTAGGCTTAGCCTCTACAATCTGTATAAATAAAGGTGAAATAAAAATTTAAAAAAAAAACCCCTCTGCAACAAAAACATAACAACATGGTCAAATACTAAAGCTGTGCTAAAATGATAACAGTCCCCGCTTTAAACATTTCTCAGAGAACCAGTCATATAACAGATAAAAATGTGTTGGTTATTTTGTTGTTTTAGAGCCCGATGGGGAGTTTACAGGGGGACAGGACTGATGGTAAATGGAAATGAACTGGTTCTTATATAGTGCTTTTCTACTCTTCCTGAGCACTCACAAGTTTTATACAACATGCCTCATGATGATGGATGCATCAGAACTTGGGGATAGTATTTTGCAAAAATATATTTGGGCATGCAAACTGGAGCAGCCAGACTGAAAAAACAGCCTTCTGATTAGTACATGAGCTGCTCTACCTCTTGAGCTACAGCCACTCAATCAGGAAGTCAACTGGAATTCACTTTGGAAGATTTATTGGCTTTTTAGCAATCTAAAACTGTATGGGCACAGCCTGGGTCTTCTTTATTTATTTGTTCTTGTCTCCTACATTTAGGCAAAAGTAAAACAGACGCCTGTAGCACTTTGACCATGTTGGGATCTCAGTGTTAGCATGGTTCACACCAGCAGGTTGGGAAATGAAGGGTCTTCTCACTGAGTCGGCATCAAGAAACCGTGTGTGATGACTCAACTCCACCTCCTCTCTTTTTTCTCATTTCTCTCTCTCTCTGTTACTTCTAGGCATAGAGCCAAGGAACACAAGCAAACACACACATGCTCACATAGCCTCTAGCTCTTTCTATTTCCTGAGTTAGCAGCATGGTGAGCAGAGGCAGTACACTCCACATTCCCACCAGTATTCATCATACTTCAGCGTCTCTTTCAGAAATTAGCTTTTGGTTCACAATAACCTGGATGAGCAGAAATATTGATTTACATGACCTCCAAGCTGTATTTTTACCAACAGACAGGTAGTGAGGAATAAAGCAAGCTGACACCCATCAGCTATCTCACGTCAACATTCAGATGCAACATTTTCTTTTTATATGATTGTTTCTGAACCTCTGCGCTCTCTCTACACTATACACTGAGAGGGTACCAACCAAGAAAGAAGGCCCTGCTCTAAGATTGACACCTTCAAGTTTGACTGACATTTTCAGCTGCCCACATGAGCAAGCCAAAAGCCTTCAATCCTAAGAACACTGTTCCAGATGTCAAGCATGGTGGTGGCAGCATGATGCTCTGGGGCTGTTTTGCTGACAGTGGTACATCACACAAAGTACACTGAATAATGGAGGATCTTCAAACTCAACAGCTAGACATGTGACACTTGGAATATCAGGCACCTCTGGCAGCTTGGAACACATTGAGGTAGTTACACAGCTTATCAGAGAACCCCAGAGAACACAGGTGATCTAGTCGTGCTGTGGTTGGATCTGGCTAATGCCTACGGATCGATACCGCACAAACTGATAGAACTTGCACTTCACCACAACCCTGTTCCCAAGAAGATTAAAGACCTAATCCTGGATTACTATAACAATTTCAGGATGCGAGTCAGAAAAATCAGAATGGCATTGCCTAGAGAAGGAAAAATAACAGGTTGTACCATCTCTATAGCTGCGTCAGCTGAGGTTGTGTGCAGAAGACCCCTGTCCAAGTCTCCAGTATGGCAGCCCCACCTAAGAGCCTACATGGATGTGAAAGAGTGAGCAGCAAGGAGCATGGTCAAGGTGGGTACACTCCAGTTTAGGATTACCAAACTGAATGCAGGCAGACACACGGTTGGGCATTAAAGGAATCGCCAAGGAGAAGCCCATTCAAGCCACACAGACAAGGTGGCTTTAGATTAAGGGGGCTGATCAGTGGACTGCTCCTGGGACATAAGTCGAGGCCTGATCAACCCCAACCGGGTCACTTGGGTGAGTCAGCTAAGACCCAAAACGCCCCATGACCCCAGGCAACGGGACTGTTCATAAATGGTAAATGTACTAGTGCTTATATAGTGCTCTCTACTCTGAGCACTCAAAGTGCTTTACACAACAACACAATATCAATGATGATGCACACCAGCGCATCCTAGGAGATGTTTCTTGCATATGTACATATCCTTGTTTCTTTATGATCACTTCCACCTAGATGAGATTCCCAGTTCCAGACTCACTGAAGCTTCCCCGCAGCATATTACTCCAAACACCATGTTTCACTCACAGTGTGCACTGTGTCTCTGCAAAAGTGGAGGCAGTCCATTCTTGTCCAGGGTTTTGGTGCTTTCCTTCTTTGAGACTACGATGGCCGACTTGACAAACTCATCCATTAGAGTCTTTCTACAGTTACTCTGTAGAAATTTGGAGCTAACCCTCAGTTTGAACTTGATTTTGCAAGCTTTGTGCCTTGGCTCAATAAAATAAAGATAATTTGTGCTTTCTGAAAAAAATAACTAGTATGTTTAAAAATGCACTTTTCATTTTATTTTTATAGGAGGGAAAATAATTTTACCCTCATCTGCACGTGGCCATTTGGTTATAACATCAGTGATACTACAGCCTGGGGAGCTGCTATTCAAATTCCAAAATAGCATTTTATATGATATGATGATATTGCAACTTAATGAATTACAATTTCTACACTAATACAACACAGACCAGGAATTCTGCTCTCTTGGGTTTTGTTTATTCATAAAATAATTTTGGTAAGCTGTTGGATCTTCAAGCTGCATGTCTCAGGTTTTTTTTTAAACTAATAATATCTTTAAAAAAAAATGTCATTACATAAACTGAGTTTTTTTACTTGTTTAGAGCAGTCGGCCTCCCTGGACGCTTTAAGCTTTCGCTATTGGCTGTCAGAGCTGGACTCCTCCTCCTTCTCTGCCAGTTGCTCCAGATTATCAGTCGGTGTCACAGTGCCTAAAGAAAAGAAAACACATTAGAAAATAAAAGATTTGATCATGATGAGTGACATTACTGACATCGAAATAGAGCTTCTTACATCACTGGTGCTGCTTTTACTCCAAACATAAGCAGCGAGCAATATAAGCAAATCGAGAAGCTCGCTATATTCCAAGATCTAGAAATGAAGCCATTTAAGCACATGTTGCAAAACAATCCAGAGAGATAAATATCAGAGAAAAGGATTCCTTGATGCATGTTAGTATCACAGAAAGTCATTATTATTATTATTATTACTATTATAGCGGTGTCATTATTATAAAACATTATAAAAACAGACAGTAAGAGTGGGAGGCCAGTGCTTAATGGAACCAGTCCTGTTGTTTGTCCCAGGATTTGGACTACTGATATGTTACACATATCCATCCATCCATCGCAGCCAGGTCAGCCAAATGTCCCAGAAACAGAAAACTGTGATCTAAAAGGAGTTTGACCACCACAGCTAGAACAAGCTGCCTCCATTTGAACCAGATGCAGGTACGGCCTTTTCTCCTTGACCTTTCAGTGCTACTGATGCTTCAGCTGATTGATGTGATGATAACTGAACTGTACGCATAATGCGTGCTGCTGGAATGACTTTCAGTAGTTGAATAAATTAACAAAAGCTTATTTATCTTTGCTTCTAATCAGGATGAAATATGAGAATTTAAGGCCCTTTTGAAGTGGTTTTCTTTCTTCAAACATTTCAGACATTTGCTATCAACCTCTCTCCTCAGCTCTCACACACTGTAGTTCAGCGGTCCCTAACCATTTTTTGGGCCACGGACCGGTTTAATGTCAGACAATATTTTCACGGACCGGCCTTTAAGGTGTCGCAGATAAATACAACAAAGTAAAATGATACGACCAAGACAAAAACTGTGGTATTTTGTAAATGAAGTAATTAAAGCGAAGTCACTGTGCAACTGTGTAACTTTATTAGCAGCGTACTCCTGAAATGCGGCAACAACACTGAGAGTAACATCCTCCTCTCTGCCTATAGTCTATGGCTGTATCCCAATTCAGGGTCTGCAGCCTTAAAGGCCGCATTTTAAGGCCGATTACGTCACAGCGACGCGACGAAGGCTGTCCCAATTCAAAGGCTGCTCGAAATGCAGCCTCAAATGCGTCCTTCATTTCCCTGAATTTTAAGGATGGGTCGGTCTATCCTTCGTGGCCCAACATATCCCAGAATGCATAGCGCAGCGGTGGGTGTGGATAATTTTGCCAAAAAAAACGGCGGAAACGGGGCGGCCAAAGAGTAAACTTTAAAAAGTAAGTACTGAATATTATGTCACTTATTTATGTGCGATAAATAAAGAAGAACATTAAAGCATTACTGTTGGCCACATGTCGGCAAAGTTATGTGACATTAGCGATGTTAGTACTGACTTGGTTTTAAAGCCTTTACTTTTAAATATACGCCGTTCAATAGTCGACCTTAATCTTACAGAGATTGTGATGATTTTGTGGATAATTAAAGTCAGTCATATATCCACAAACACAACAAGCTGAAAGTCAGTGATGCTGCTTGGTTTGCAGTCCTGAATATCACGGCACAAGCAGGATCCACTGCACTGTTAATGTTAGCTATGTTATATTGCTGCCTCTGTTCGGTGGTGTCGAGCCAAACGGACTTTAAAGTGTGTTTGAACGAGCTGACGGTTTTTATAGGCCGATGATTTTTTGTAACGGTATAAACAATGAAAGGTGGTGGATTGGCCAGATGCTGGCAGATGTGTAAAAATAACTCAGTTGTTTGGTGGTGGCTATGGCGGAGCTTCCACAGAGGCAGCAGGTGGATGAGGGAAAGGGGAGGCAGGAGGAGGAGAGACCCGAGGCAGCCACCGGTCCGAGTGTCAGGTGAACTGAACTTCAGGTAAGAAGTTATGACCTGCAGTCTATCTGGGTCAGATATAAACCAAGTTTAGGTGGAGTTTATTTTCGTTGTGCTGACTTTTTACAGTCAGTTACAATAACTCGTGCTGCGTGCTAGCTAGCATGACGGAGTTTCTATACAGCTGGGTGGGTGCTATGATGTTACTGATGGTGAACTTTATTTAATTCATAAGGTTAGTTAGTAGAGTTGCCAAATGTTCTGTAAAAAGACGTTATCGTCTCGTATTCAGAGAAAATATTACGCGTTTCATGTTGAGGTGAAAAAGAACAGTTTGTCCCGAACTTCAGCTACAATGAAAAAGACACAAAGCTGGAGTTACTCTGTGTTTACGCTGCACAGCTGCCTCTTCTTCTCTCATTCTCTCCCTCTCTCTCCTGTTGCTACTTCAATCATGAAAGTGATCAATGATCAGCTGATCGGCTTTTCTCTCTTCTTTGTTTATCGTCCACTTTGCGCCAGAAACAGGAAACCAGTGGATGTCGCGCTAAACAACAGCAGCACGTTTAAGCTTGATCAGCTGTTGTTAGAATTTATTTAATATTAATTTCTAGTATCAGCTGATGTTTGCTGGAGCCACAGCTGTAAAGCTGCTGGTCATGATGTCGGTTTGGATATGTGGTGAGAGGGAAACATGAAGATGAAACCAGGAGATGTCCTTACTGAACCATCAGAGCTGTGATGGAGAAACAGGTTTACCTTTTAGGTGACATGGATGAGTTGAAGGGAAGTTATGAACTGTTTCTGAGAGACAAATAACACCAGGATCCTTTTCTAAGTAGCTGACAGCTGGTAACTGTGCAGGGGCGGGTCTAGCAAAGTTTTGCCAGGGGGCCAGGTAGGGCATTAACAGGGAGAGGGGGGCACAAAGAAACACTTTCTTATTCTCATTTAAAATGTCTAGCTTTTATTAATTAATGATCTGAAGCTTACAACCAAAGTTTTTATCTGACGTAAAATGTATAGAAACCAACAAGACTGTACATCACTGTCACAACAGCGTTTGTTTTCATTCAAAGGCTTTATGGCTTTAATACCTGGGGGGCCGGTCTCTCGTCAAAATGCCCAGGCCGATTTTTTTGTCCCAGTCCAGCCCTGGACACGACACGCAGTGAGTTAATCCGAGAAGATGCATTAAAAAAAATTAATGGCCGGGCCAGCGGTGCACATCGCAAATCAGCTCGCATAGACACATTAGTTGTGCCGCTTCTTAATGACGGTATCTTAGCAACCCCAACTACCAGATTCATCTTATAATTGGCTAAAAATCACTTCGCCTACCGGTGAGAGGGACGTTGCTAGCTGGCAGGTTTTTTTCAGGCAATGTTGAAATTTCTTCATTCCGACACTTCAAATGCTTCAGGAGCTGTCCGCTCAGCGCAGCATCAGCACCGCAGAAATACACGGATACATCCGTAGACTCGAGACAGAATTCACAATGGGTTTTCGGGGCTTTCAGGTGTTTGGACCAATGTTTTCTTTTCTAATCAAATCAAAAAGCTTTAATGAGCAGCTGGATTTGTCTCGCATTAACTGGTTGGACACAGAGGACATCGAAATGCAGCTGATTGAACTGAAAAGCTCGACTCTGTGGGGGTCAAAGTTTGTAGAACTACGGACGCAGCTGGAATCCACTGCTGTGCGTGTTCATGGAGCTGCATGTTCATCACTACCTGACAGGTTTACTGTCTTCAGAACATTGCAGAGGCCTTATTGACAGTGTTTGGCTCGACATGTCTGTGTGAGCAGATTTTCTCTCACACGAGTCCTCAGGTAGCCTCTGAATGCTGGACACTGGGAGACCTGTGTGTCTGAGTGGGAGACCAGAGGTCACATTAACATGTGTGTCTCTGTATTAACAAACATGCCATATTGGCCCAGTTTATTTTTCATATCATTGTTGTGAGGAGACCGTAAATAGCATTTGCATTTTCTGTTGTTCAGTTCATTTGCTGTTATGGATAAAAAGTCTTTTTTGTTTCAAAATAGCTGATAACTATTCGCTGATAGCTGCCAACATCTGTGCACAAATATAATTCTATAAAGTTTTTCTATATAGTTTGTAACTGTTAATTTAGAGTATTATTAAATTTATTGCTAATGCAGTCATATGGCACACTGACCTCTGAGGAAATTTTAGATGCACTCATCACCAGAAAGGTTGCCGACCCCTTTCTGTTCCCTGTTTGTGAAGGACTGCTAGGAAAGTTTAACATAACTGTCTGTGCTGAATCAGTCTTATTAGGTAATGTTCAAATAATGTGATCATCCCAGTGTTTTCAGTGTGGGAGAAAGTACTCAGGGCCTTCAAGTTACACACTATGAAAGGCAGCAACAAGGTTAATGTTCAGAAACCTAAAGTATGTATCAGCAGCAGAATGGAGCTAAAATAAATGTTGGTTCCAGTTCTATGAAGCTTTGAGTATTTTGGATCAGTAGCTGCTGTGTTTGTTGCATCATATTGCTGTAATTGTTTATATGCTTTATATATTCTGAGCTAAGTTGATCTATAGTGTTACATCATATTCTATAAGGATGTTATGTTTGTGTAGACTTTCTGCCCAGTTTGACCCATTTAGCAGAAGTCAGCCTGTTTAAGGCTCTGATGTCTATTCTGTGTGACTTACAGCAGTTATGACATGGTCTGATTTTCTCACCCAATAAAGGAATATTTCATATATCAGTCGACTCTTCATTCTATTAGAAACAGTTTTCACAGCTCGTACATTTTCATTTTACACATATATGTAAGCATTGAGCCAAATTTAGTAATGCCAACAAATTAAACGAAGAATATTATATATAATACATCTATATACACTGTCAAAGATACTTGAGTGTCTTTGAGTGAAGATTTAAGGTGATAGGAAATATAAATAACTGCAACTTGAATCTTTACTGAAGCTCAGAGTTTGACAGAGTTCAAGTTCACTGCTGTAATAACTAATAATGATTAATATGATAATAACTTCGATATTGGCCATATTATATTTACATTTCCAAAGTGAGATGACTTTAGTCTCATGAGCAACATTAACTAATTGTTATTTACTAACTAATCTTAAATGACTGTTCAGCACAG